GAGCGGAGGAGTTTCTGAATTAGCGCGTATTAATTCTCCAGAAATATCAGCGTTTAGTAACGTTGCTTGGATTCCAACCTTGTTACCAAGTACTACCTTAGGTAATTTGTCAAATTCTCCAAGCGCATGTTTTGTCGCCAGTGATGGGGAATGTTTAAGGGTATATCAAGCTGTTATCGACGCTAGAACATTGTTGGCAGAAGTATCAATTAGTGAAAGGCGAAGCAGAATGATGGTTAGTTTTTGGTAAATTTAAAAGAAGCATAATTCATAAATATTTGTTAAATTGATTTATTACTTTTGTGTTTGTCAGAATTCCATGGCAAGTCTTTCGACAGATATGTCATCGGACGATGGTATGAGACATTCGATTCACGATAGAATAGAAATAGTATCTCAACAATCTACGGCTAGGCCAGGTTGCGTTATACAGTTGGATGCTATTGCTGATGCAACACATGTAAGTATTAAACAACGCATGTAAAAAAGAAAAGTTATGGAAAATTAGAATAATAAGAATAATTTAATAATATTGATTATTTAAAAAATAATAACCTAATGGATATAATTTTTGTTATAAATTTAGGACTGGCAAAATACACAATTCCTACATGTATTTCAAGAACAATTAATTACTGGAGACAGAAATGATGAAAAACAAACTGGTATAGATACATCAATAAATGATTTAGGTTTAATGGAATCTACCTTGGATGCTATGGTAGATTTGCAACAGTCTGCAATTTTCGAAGAACCATTTTACATAGTTGTTTTAGAAAGAACACAACAAGGTACAACTGTACATATGTGGCGTTTGGTAATAGCCTCTCAACCTGAAAATACTGGTACATCTATTTGTAGTTCTATTAAACTTTTTCTTCAATATTATTTTACCCCTTTTCCTACTTCTGTATTATCTCATACTTTTTCTTCGATAGTATTATCGGAATCAATGATGTATGTACCGGATTCTCATTTGGTACAAGATGAAGATGAGGAGGGAACCCCTGGACGTTATAATCATCCAGAGGGTAGAAGATCTCGTCGAGCAAGTCAGTCCCGCCGTGAGAGTCAAGGTGAATTAGATATGTTTTTCCAAAAACGACCTCAAAACAGTCATGTTCTTATAACAACTACGAAAGTATGCACCCAGGAATTGCCATTACCAACGGGAGTTGAGGTTTGTGTAACATTTGTATATTGCATTTTTATCTTTTTTCTCTTTTCCTCGTAGTTGTAACTATGTCGCTTTAAAGTTAAAACTATTAAACAGAGTGTAAAAACCATTATTACATACATAATGATAATAGTAATACATTATGTAGGTAATACATGCTGCGCCAGCTGCTGGACACTTAAGCAGTTCTTCCATATATCCTGCTTGCTTTGCTCCATATATTGTGGTAACTGCATGTAGCGATAGTACAATACGTTTCTGGAGATGTAAAGTAACGAAAAATCAACCGATTGTCAAATTACATTATGAATGGTGCGAATGGGAAATGATACGGAAAGATCAAGAATCGACTATAGATATTACAGGTGAGTATATATTGGTTAAAATTACATTTAAAAAAAATTGAAATTAAGAAAAGATTCTATTCGATCCAATAACTTATTTGTATTTTAGGACAACCATTAAATATAAGTGCTGCATATAGTGGACGTATTGCATGTGCATACAAGTACGGAAAATCATTTACACGTCCTACCAAAAGTGATCCTGATTCTCGATATGTAAATCTATGCGTTGCTATATATGAATGTGAAAGCACGGGTGGAAGTGAATGGATTCTAGAGGATACTATACATTTAAAGAATATACATTTGCCGAGAATTCCAGTGGATCAACACTTAGATTTGAGTTATCTCTATGACAGTAAATTTTTGCAGAAAAAGCAAAGACTTACTCAAGTGTTGCAGACGCTTAGTCATGAAGATGTGAGATCACCCAGAAATGGAGAAAACGGGGAAAGTACAAAGCCGAATGCAGGTAAAGGTACTAGATTTAATATATCATATTTTCAGCACACAGTCTCATTGTAATAAATTTCAATGATTAAAAATTTAATCATATTATTTACGATTGTGGTAGGTTTATTGGCTGTTCCGTCGTTTAGCACACTTCAGTCCTTACGAAAATCGATCATAGAAAATGGTAACACATGCCCGCTTACACAGAAACATTTAGTTCAGCTAGATTGGGTGTCTAAAGAAGATGGTTCTCATATTTTAACTGTTGCTGTTGGATCGAAAATCATGTTATTCACGCCCGTGTGTTCGGATCTTGCACAAGCAAATATGAAAGCAATGAAAGAATCACAGAGCAATAATCGACCGATTTTGCGGAAAGCTTCATCTTTGGCACAGCCCCAATTTGTTGACGAAATTCGTTGGATGAAACTACGAAAAATCGAGTTAACTACAGCGGATGGTTTACCTCCGCTACCAATGCAAATATCTTGGGTAAGAGATGGGATTTTAGTAGTTGGCATGGATTCAGAAATGCACGTTTATTCACAATGGAAGCCGAATCCAAAGAAGGATTGTTTTCATTCGAATTTGCAACATCAAGAATCAGATGAGTTTCAAGCTAGTCGAAATTTACGAGACGAGGATTTACGAACATTAGCACACGAAACGTCGCAAAGACGATTGGCAAACGTATCCTCTATGCCCCATCTTTCTCGAGTCAGCAGTATCAATTTAACGATGCTAGACGCTAAAAAGAAACGAGGAATGCAAAATGAAAATTTAAATTTTGATTATATGCCAGACTATGGTTTATTTGAAGCGTCGAGAATCGCTTGTCCCGTGTTGCCTCAATATCATCCAAAACAATTAATGGAATTGCTAAATTCTGGCAAAATTCGATGGGTAAAAGCTATATTGGCACATCTTGTTCGATGCATAGGAAGTTCTTGTTCTTTAAGGGCAGATGATGAAAGTTTAGTGAAGCAACGTGGCGGTGGATGGTCTCGTTCTAGAACGATGTCGGTTAGTTATGTAGGTACAACATCGCCTTTGGAACCAAGAGGTTCAACTACGCAGATACCAGAAGAACTTACATTAGATTATGCTGAAATAACATCAATATCTCCATTACCACTTTGGACTTTACTCATCGCAGACAAAGAAACAAACGTACCGCATCAACACAAAATTGAAGATAAGCAAGATTATAACGAATTGTTTGACAGTAATTTGGATGAAGGTGAGTCGCTGGATGACATGCTGGACGAGGATTATGATTGTTCGCGACAGAAAGACAGACGTTCGTCAGTACCAGAAAGACAAGGTATATCTCATTTTGGACCAAGACAAGGTAGATTACTGTCGCGACTACTGACACACACTCATTTACCCGGGTTATCGAGCCTTGATCAAATGCATTTGCTCGCACTAGCTGATACCGTTTCTACTTGTAATGTAGATTTTGCGGAAAGATTTGCAATAGACGCAGCAAAGAACGCGATTGCGAAAGAAAATTTAACCGGTATTCCCGACGGAGAAACGGTCTCAACGGATTCATTAGACGATTGTGGCCTTCGATTTTTATTGGCCATGAAACATTATAATTACTTAATTCGTTGTCTTCCATTAGCGCAAAGAGCACAGTTTCAGAAGCAAGGTATATCATCGAATAATCTTGTTTGGGCATTTCATTCTGAATCCGAAGAAGAATTACTAGGATTGATACCTTCTTATGCCAAAGGGCAACCAAAATGGAATATTTTGAAGGAACTCGGTATAGGTTGGTGGATTAGAAGTAACACTGTATTAAAAAGATGCGTTGAAAAAATTGCGAAAGCAGCTTATCAACAAAAGCAAGATCCCCTTGATGCTGCGCTTTATTATTTAGCAATGAAAAAAAAGAATCTTGTTTGGGGACTGTTTAGAAATAAACGGGATGAAAGAATGACAACTTTCTTTGCGAACAATTTCACTGAAGATCGTTGGAGGAAAGCTGCCTTGAAGAATGCATTTGCTTTACTTGGTAAACAAAGATTCGAACATGCTGCAGCATTCTTCTTGCTAGCAAATGCGCTTAAAGATGCTATTGACGTATGTTTAAATAAACTGAATGATATACAATTAGCAATGGTCATTGCCAGACTTTACGATGACGATACTACCTCTGTGAATTTAAGAAGATTACTTTACGAAGAAATTTTAGGCTGTGACAAAGATGGACAAAATCAAGATATGAATAAAGCTCATCCCGACCCATTTTTACGCAGTATGGCTCTTTGGATTCTTAAGGATTATGCTGGATCGTTGAATACTTTGTTACTAACAAACGTTGGAACTTTGCATCCGCAATATAACGACGAATCTGATAAACCCGAAGGTGCAACAGGTAATACAACTATTTTATTTCTGTCTTCTCTCTTTTTTTCATCTTATTACTTTTTCTTAATTTAAATAAAACTGCCCTAATTGAAAAGACTGTAACAAAACTTTCCCTTAAAAGATTACATTAACAAAAAATAAAGTTCACTTATTTTCTATTATTTTATTCTCCTTCAGTTTGAACATTGATAAAAATAATTCTGTTACTCTTCGGGTTAATAATTATTGTAGAAGGTTTAAGTTCAATTAATGTAGTGCTAATGTTTTGTATTTCTTTCCTTAAAAGAACATCATTTACTTTTACCGCACATGGTCATTGTTTACATCTTTTTTTCATTTTAGCAAATCCAAATGTTTTCAATTTTTACGTTTACCTACGAACACATCCATTACTGATCAGACAATACATTGCATCTACTGCTCAGGATAAGAAAAAAGGTCATTCAGTAGTTATATCCGGATTCAGTTATGGCACGGAAACAAAATCACAACCTGATAAACAATTGACCTTGGAAGATAGTATTACACCTTTGGAAAGACAACTATACTTCACAACAGCGCATGCACATTTTAAAGCAGGGTGTCCTGCTCTTGCCCTTGAAGTTCTTTCTAAGTTACCTAACAAAGTTATGGAAACAAATTGTGAAGATTCATCTAGTATGTAATCATATAATTACCATATATACAGCTTTTCTGTTTTCTTGTAGGTCTTTTATACTTATTGTTATTTACGGATACCACCGATTTTTTAGGTTTATTAAATAGCCCGAGCAAATCAAGAAATCAAGATTTTCAAATAGATACTGGAATTATTAGTTGGGATGATAATTTAAAGAAAACCGACGATGACAAAGGTAAACTTAGATCGATATAAAAAAAAGTGGATAATTTCTACTAATTTATTCTTATGGTGTTAGGCATTATCGATTGGTCCCAACCGGTGTTGCGTCAAACCGACGAGGAATTAGTATTAAACTGGGATGATGATGATATAACTGAAAATGACGATGCTGATAGTCCGCCTTTAAGTATGAAACTGGATAAAAAAGAAACTACCGATGGTTTAAAAGAAACACAATCAGAACAAAATGGTAAATTAGTGTTTATAACTTATTATACATGACTATCTTGATTTAATTTTTATTTAACTCTATTACAACTACCTTTATCAGATATTAAAGAACATTATGTCTCTGAAAAGAAATGTAACATTGTCTTAAAGGCACTGAATATCAATTCTAATAATCTAAATTCCAAATAATTTTAAAATAGAGAAAGCTGGTTATTTGAAGGATATTCAAAACAAGCTTAATTATATTATCATCATCATTATTATTTGATTATTTTCTGCTTCTCCCAGGTTTCATTGTTTTTTTTCTTTTTTGCAAAACATAAGTTATGCCAAGTTATTTTGTCCTATTCCTTCTATCACATATATTTGTAAGAAGTATTTTAGGAATCGGCCTGTCATGAAATCTATTATTACTTATTGACTTTTGTACCTGTAACAATAACATTTGTGGATAAAATTATTATTGATATTATTTTAGTTATAATCTGGTGCACATATATTCTTGTATTTTTGCTGTTGTTGTTGTTGTCGTCGTTGTTGTTAATATTAATATTTTCAGAGAAAGCCATTAAACCATCAGGACAATTAGACATTATGGCACAACAACTAAAATTTGTAGCATGTTTAAAAATTTTAATGGAAGAATTATCAACATTGGCAACGGGTTTTGAAGTAGACGGAGGTCAACTTCGATATCAACTGTATGTATGGCTCGAACGAGAAGTAGATGCCCTTAGACAGCTCTGCAGTTATAGTGTCAGTTCAGACGGAGATGTAAACAACGTTTCGGAATGTAAACAGAAAAATTTGCTAACTTGATTTTAATTAAATGATATTTAATTTAATACTGATTATTTTCAAGTGATAAAATCATTGCACTTTTAGATGAAGGTGGTATGGTGGATGATATGCAGCCATCTAAACCTGGTGAACAGCCAACGTTACACGAAATATTAATGGCCGAGAAATTGGATTTTGAAGCCAAGGTTCAACGAGCTGCTAGAAGAAAAAAATGGCTGAAAGGTATTTTATAATCTAGATGTAGATGCTTTACATTAGTAAATACATAATTAATCGAAAACTTATGATTGTGAGGTATTATAAACATCTGTTTATAGCAAACGAAACATTATTACGAACGTTACTGTCCTATTGTTCTTTGCACGGAGCATCGGGTGGTGGTTTAGCATCTGTGCGAATGGAACTTGTTCTTTTATTACAAGAATTACAACAAGAAAAGACGCAACAACAGTTACTTAGCCCTCTTCCATTTCCAACTACACTTCCTCTTTTAAGTGCTAGTGTAGCATGCAACAAAACTGTTGTGGCAGATCCGGTCAGACATTTGCAAGTTCGTACAATATTACGAAATTTTAGAAAAAAATTTGATATGCATCTGATATTGTATTTACTCTTTTAGGCCCTAGCGCATGATATGTTGCAAACGTTAGTAGAATTACGTAATCCACCAATGCCTACAAAAAATACACATTATTGCGAGGTGTTTATAATGAGGGATTTAGCAGTGGCTTTAAGTGCTTGTATTTATCAATCACTCTGCGATTCCGATACTTTTGTTACGAAACATCAACAGCCGGACAGGTAAGTTCGATAGATTATAAAAATTCGAACGAAAATCTTTAAATTGTAGTTGGTCATAAAATCGGTTTTTGTTTTT